CCTGATCTTGGCTATGTTTTCAACGCTAGCGAGCACACGATCTCACGATCGTGCGATTGATACATAGCGCCCCTGGTGCTGTTCGATAACTTTGAAGGCAGAAAAATTACAAAAGACAAAAAATCGCAGATAACTACGCAGAAGTAGCAGCAACAGTTTCTTTATTTCAACTATGTTAAGCAAAAGTGAAAATACTCCCAAAGTGTAGCCAAGTTGTAGCCATACACTAAGAGACATAAGAATTCCAAATGACAGATGCCAGATTTTTGCGAAATTTCGTGAAAATATCGCAGGAAGCAAACTCCGTGGTAGTAGCTCAATCCATCGGGCAGTCCAGCGTACAAAAGGATTATTGTTTGATTATGAACAGTTTTTCGAAGAGTTATGCGCCAGTGAAAGCAGATCTTACCTTAATTAGTCCCAGGAATCTGGAATCTTTGTTATATACCAAATAAATTAGAATCACTTATTCTAATACACACAGAATTGCACTTTACGGAAGGCTCTAGCCCAAATGTAAATACGGTAGACGCGAAAAAACCTAATACGCCAGAAACGATCACATATCCAAGTTGCTTCACAGATCACTAAGAAGATGTTTTCTAAAGTCAAAGATTTTGATAAACCAACTATCGAATGGTTTCACCATTTTGCAAATTCCTCGGAATAGCAGCTGCTTGGCAGGGATGTCAGCGTGCTAAAAGCATCTACAGTATTATAACAGTGTTGAAGAAGGATAGCTAACCCACATCACTGCAATTCTGAGTAGAAAAGATGATCTGATATATTATATGTTATAATACTTTCGGATACCTGTAGTAGCGGATGCTGAAGTTAGAAAGTGGAGTTTCCAAGTCACACAGCTCATAACTCTCACATCTTTCGTACCGAAGCTCAGTGATCACCCCAGTCACAGAATACTTCCTTTGCTCTAATCTATGCTTAACCCAGCTAGATTTCTCAACAAAATAAGCCCACAAGAGCTGAAAGGATATTTGACAACATACCCAAACATAAACATCGTGCAACCTTTCATTCTAAACAAATATCCAGTGATTAGGAAAATTGGCAACCAAATGAATGGGCTTACAGTAACAGAAGAAATTAGTTGCGATCAATGTCCAGTGGAAGTAGAGGTCTGACTCAAGTGGTCCAAGCCGAATATCATGGGGCCGAACGCTGAACGCAAAAAAAAACTTGCGAACGAACGGCGATGTGGGGGCATAGAGGAAAATTTTAGCACAGATGCGTCTATAGCGTCCAAGAAGAAACAGATAAAAGTGAGAAAAGGAGTCCTGAAGCTTCCAGCAAAGAACCGTAAGGAGGAACCATTGTGAGCGTATTTACTTGGGGGAGGAAGAAGGCGTTGAAAATGAAGCTTTTGAAAATTGAAACCTTTTATGAGCTCGTGAAAAAACGATATGAAGATGGATTCAATGGAAATATTTGATCTCTAACATTTATCCATAACTAGCTGGCTTACCCGGCTCCGCCGTATGTTCCGAATAGAAAATTCCATTTCTTAACCGATCCGGACCAAACTTGGCACACATACCCTTCGGGCCCCGGCGGGTGTCACAGTCCACTTTTCGTTATCGATCGATGTCGATTTTATCGATTTTCTGCAAAATTTGAGCTACGGGGCTGGGAGTTGGCAGAGGGGTGTAATCGAGCATGCTGATCACCCCCACGGGGGTGATCAGCATGCTCGATTACCCCCCTGTGCCAAATCCCAGCCCCGTAGCTCAAACTTTGCAAAAAAATAGAAAAATCGATAAAAGTAATGCACGATTTTAAAAACTAATATTGTATTCGGAATCCCCATGCTCACTTACCCCCCCCCCCCGTGCCAAATCCCAGCCCCGTAGCTCAAACTTTGCAAAAAAATCGATAAAATCGATAAAGGTAATGCACGATTTTAAAAACTAATATTGTATTCGGAATCCCCATGCTCACTTACCCCCCTGTGCCAACTCCCAGCCCCCTAGCTCAAATTTTGCAAAAAATCGATAAAATCGACATCGACCGATAACGAAAAGTGGACTGTGACACCCGCCGGGGCCCGAAGGGTATGTGTGCCAAGTTTGGTCCCGATCGATTCAGAAATGAAATTTTCTATTCGGAACATACGTACACACATACAGACAGACAGACAGACAGACAGACATACATACAAACAGACATTCAGCTTTATATATAAGATTGTAACCAGCAACTACGATCACATGCAGAGTCAAACTGCTAGTTATGTTCGTCTTTAAGCATTGAACAGCAAACTACTGCACTCCACGCTAAGTTCAACAGAACGAATTCGAGAAGCTCTTTATAGGTTGTCCCATGAAATTTGCAGGAATTTTCTTTGATAATCGCTAAAATGTGCAAGGAAATGACTTTTATATTTATAGTAATGTTTATGTTTACCTGTACTCTAATCTTGTTTATTAATACTATAATCTTTCTTATGTATGATAAATGTTGTACTTTAATGGAATCAGTAACAAAAACAAAACTCGTTTTTGTTTAGTAACAAGAGCGAAATTCGGGGGAAAGTTCCAGGATTCAAGAATTCTAGCAAAAATCTGCCAGCGGCACAAGTAACTTACGCTAGTAGGAGTATGTAACCAACTGGGCCTTCAAGCATTTTTGCGACCGGAAGTAGAATATTTAAGATCTGTAGGTGAATGTCGCCAAGATTTAATAACATTGTTTTTGAGGCGGCAGTAAGCCAATAATTCAAGCTTTCTAAGATCTTGACAAGATTTCATAAAATTGAAAAGTTCATAGATTGAAAACTTTGGTACAAGCCTTATAGACAAACCAGAAATATTTTATGTGACTACTATATATTATTGCACCATCTTGCAGTTTGAATCCTACAGTTCCCAAGATACAAAACTCCCACATTGCTTACCTCTTTCCAACGCTTTTTTTCTCCATTGCGGTACTTCGCATCCATTTTTTATTGATACGGCTTTTCTTTTGAATTTTTGAGATTTTATGAAGGTGAATTTGCTGCAAAGATCTCATGTACCCTGCAGATTGTATGCACTGTTCTCATTTCATTTATTCTATTAGAAGATATATGAATACGCTAGAACAAAAGTACATAAAGAACTACAAGTTGATGGCAATTATCACAAATATCATGTGCACTTGTTCAAAAGCTTACGAGCTGATTATAAAATTGAGAGGTGAAATTCACTGTAAGGGGGGAGCGAAGCGTAAAAACAAAGAAAATAAAAGCACATCTTTGCAACAGTGCCTGCCAAATAACCCGCAATCACTGTAAAAGCAAAAATATAATAGACGTAATAGCGTTGGAAAGTAAATTTCAGATAAACAAAAAGCCCTTCCATAGCTGCTAGGATTGGATGCTTTGCGCTGTTAAGAGAGTAATAACATTATTCAAAAAGGATTACGAGAATTTATGGCTCTTGGGACAAAAATGGGCAGAATAAATCATTATCAGAGATCTTAGCGTCAGAATGCGATGCCGCTATTCTAGTAAATATAACATGGAGTGAAAGCTCGCTCGTAGTCCAGAAAAAAAAACGATAAATGATAAGATGGGATAAAGTTTGTGCGAATTGTGATGGTGGTAAAGAAAATCATATTCTATACAATGGCGAACGAGGGGCATGGGTAAGACTCAATCAAGTAGAACCAAACCTCTTATTTGCAACGAAAGCTAATTAGCTGAGCTAATAGCTTTATTTCGTTCTTTATCTTTCTCTTCTAAACTCATGGTGTACGATTTGACTATGAAATACGGTTGGTATGGAGCCGGTCGTCCTAGGCATTCCAAGTACAAAAAAAGAGAATGCTCGAGCTTCGATGTTATGAGCATAGAAAACTCATACAGGATAATGTACCCAATGTACTGATGTTCTTGCGTTATGGTTTAGGCATACTTCATACAATTTTCAGTTTGCATACCTTGATCGTACCAGGTGAATGAAAATGAGTGCGAAAAAATCTGCTCTAGTACGCAATGCTAATAGCACAGATACTGTGATTAACAACAATAACAACCACACATGTCACCAGCTAGCATGTCTTCGTCACTAATGTGCGAATTGGGTGTCAAAGTTTAGTCCTTTTTCTCCATGGCTGGTAAGCACTTCAATCGCGTGGGAACCAGGACTGAGATGAGGTACAGCTATGGAGTCAGAATTCAGAACAGATCAGAATTCAGATCAGAACAATCCTTATTTTCGATAGAATGAGAGTGACTGTTGTAACATGAAGTTTTTAACTTCAGTTAGTTTGCAGAAACTACAATTTCGCTGTGCCATCCCCGCTTCTGCCGACACCATCTGCTCATCGCATTGTGCATCCTTGACGAAGCGGCTTTTCGATTTATTTACGCGCTCGTCTCGATGAACGCCAAGAAAAAACTATAACGGGGGGATGTGATTCATCACAAAATGTCAAATTTGGAACTGTAAGATGATAATCCATTATCAGTTCCTAATCACCTCCACCGTTTGCTTAGTTAGCAGTGTCTACAATGGCAGTGCTTACTATTTCTGAGCTCAGTGGGTGTTGCCACATGTAAAATAAAGTCTTTGTAAGTGAGACGTACCCTAGATCTTTCCTTTTATTCTTTGTAGATTTTGCATAGGGTAAGCGTTCTTTGATGATTCGAAATATCTTTGATGAAATGTGCTGCTAGAAACTAAAACTCAAAGAGTCTGTTGCGTCCGTGCTTCGTTTGAAAGAACAGGCATCAACAAATCGTATTGTCTTCCAGATTTGGCTCAGCAAAATGGCTTCGGATGGAAATAAGACTCACGCGGACAAATGCTACGATAAGCAAATTATTTAATTAGATTTAATGAATGTGAGTAAATCCTACTGACTACTGAGTACTCGTTACCACACCACTAGCCTGCATTTTGCGATTATTTCAGACACTTTGAGCATTGGACTTGATCTGTTTTCGAATAAGAGTGTATGCGACGGGCTGTAAGTCGATTTATTGACGAATTTCAACGTATCGAAAAATTACCATGGAACTCAAAATATGACGAGGACTCAGTTAATGCATTCAGAGCTTAAATATTGGCTATACATTCACGTTCAGTTACAAGTACAACCACGCAAAGAACCGTAGAGATCAGGCGTAACGGATTCACTCAGACCGTAAAAGGCTCAAGGAAAGTCAAGAAGCGATCACTTCAATATGTTTCGAGAAAACTGCACCTTCCATCGATAGCATTTGATATATCTAAAAAAATGCTTCATTGCCCAGAACAGACTCTAAAGCTGAGCCCAGCTCCGCTCCAAGAACCAACCTTTTCAGCCACCTTTTCTGCATCTGCCGTACGTATGCTACGATTGTCAGTTAATTTGGCTGTTAACTGAAACGAAGGCGCAGCTATGGAGCGAATCTACTAAAAAGCATTCATGCACTAACCTGGACATTATGAAGAACTGTGACATTAGTATTGTTTCGGTGAACTTTGTAGGCAACGCTGGATCCACGTAACTGGTAGCGATAGCCACTGCGATCAAAGAAATCGCCAAACTCATCTATCATAGTAGATTCTGGGTGGTACTGAAACAAGAACTCGGAAATAACTTATCCGTCACCTAACGACAAGCTCGTAAACTTTTTGTTGTACAGTAATAGATCATACGATGCAAATCGCAACATTAGACAACGATCACATTTTCTTTACTTTATTTTGTTTCAAGGCTGTCCGTCCACGCAAATGGGAGTAACTGTATTTCTCTGTAGAAACTGGAAGGAGCTATAAATAAATAGTGGCATCTCAAAAGGTCCATTTGGCTTAGAAATTCAATCTTGAACACTGACCCGAACTACTCTCTCTCGTACCTGAGGACGCTGATTTGTCCGCTCCGAAAGATTATTGTCTGGGTTTTAGTTTAAGATTCATATTTTCGGCCACAGTGACTCACATGGGCGACGAACAAATTTGCTTAGAACTGGTCTCTGACTTTTCTGATTATAAAACCAATCAGATTTATGTTTAGCAGCCAAAATATTGCTCAATCATGCTAACAGGTAGCAAAAATTTAATGACTAATTTATGGATGATATATGGCAGCTTTGCTTGAAAGGAAGCAAGATATACTGAAAACCAGCGTAGCTCACTCTTACGCCTCCGCTAACGCACTGAGCTTTTGGCACAGTCATCATGTACCGTAAATTTTCTTGAATCCATTTTCATTGAAAACAAAACCGACCTTTACAACAATCTCATTCAGGGTTGGTGTATGAAGGTGAGTACTCGCGTATGCGTTGAGAATCTGCGAATATTTCGATGGTAAACAATGATAAAAAAATACCTAATAATATTAAATGAAGACAGCGAAAAATTGCAAACTAGTAGAAGCAAATCAGTCCATATTCGAAAAGGTGCTCATAATTTTAGAAAAGATCCCCTGAAATCGGAGTTTCCGCCTATTGATGATTACGCAGTTGTTGTCTAACCTAGTAGTTATTTTAAATTTGATCCATTCTTCTCTTTGGTCAAAATCCTACTTTTGCCCTTTGAGAACCGTACCGCATTTTTTACGTCCTCACTGGCAGTGTCATACGCGCTTTCGGAATCCACTGCTTGGTCTCCTATCCCACACAAAGGATCGCAATAAGTCCACGATACAGGTGGACTCAGATGAAGAATAAATGTAGGGTTTCGAATCTGTGATGCATACTTAATCTTCCTTACTATCCTCAAAAATCTTCAGAATCCTTTCAAACCTCTTTCTCCTTGAATGTGCTGCGTAAGGGTTTAGGGATCCACGTATGAAGATTCAAGGGGCGGAAGAAGTCGTATAAAGACGGAAACAGCCTTGGTGATCGCTCTACTGGGGGAAGGGCTTGGTCTCTGAAATTTCAAATTTTCCGGAAAATAGGTACTCAGGCAAGAGTTTGAATGAGTAAAAATATCGACACATGAGTGCAAGACTCTATTTTGAATCAAAAATCTTGCATCTCCTGCGATAATTGAAATTTTTGTATCTAGATAATCTGCCAAATTTCATTTCCAAGCTGGTTGCAGGCTCATTGCCTGGTTGAGACTGACTTCTAAACTATTCTCAACCTAGATGGAACGAGGAATAAAGATGAAAAAGTGAAAGGAGAGGATTTGTGAAGTTCCATTGTTTAACTGAAGCGCTTCTGCCTAAGCAATTTGGTCACGAGGAGAAGGTCACCGTTGGCTTAAAAGAATTCAAACCGTGCAGTTGCACAGAGCAAATGACTAGATGGGGACGAGTGTATATGCAATTTCGAGAGAAGGACGTCGTTAAGGATTATGGTTAGTTCTACAAACACAGGAATCAGATAAGGGCTCATTGACGAAGACCTGCGCAAAAATCTCACGAATCTAAGGGGTGGTCGGGTCCGTGTTAATTTGCCTCCGACTCGAAGCAGCTAAACACTGTAGCTTAGAAGCACAAGGCGTGCTGTGAATAGAAAACAATGAATGGAGTGTATTGCTTTTTCAGTATCGCCTTGGACATGCTCTTTTATCAGGATTAGGTTAATGAGCGATTTGTACTCACAAAGAGAGACGTAATATTTCGTAAATACCATGAATCAATTTTGCCAGAAGTTGCATTTTTCTGCACGGCTCTCAGGAGAGTACGCTAAAACTGTCAAAAAATGTACCAAAAGTGTCAATGCCTGATCCTGAGCTTTCTCGGGCTGACTACGGTGATCTAAAGTGTCCATAGCAATGGGATTCTTCACCCATTTTGGTAACATCAGTAGAGAATACTTCGAATACATTACTTCTTGAACACTACTCTAAAAGTGAGATTGTCTATTCATCACCTGTTTACAACCATCAATGGCCGGAGATCACTTGTGTTTCTTACAGAATCTATCCTGCTCTTGTCTGCATAAGCCGCCCTCGCTTGCAGTACATCGTCTGGAATATACAAATCGACTGTAAGCTACATTTTGCTCTTAACTCTTGGGAAAAATACTGATTGCTATAAAGTTTTCTGTAGCTGCGTTTTTGTCGTGAAAAAACCGTCGGATAACTATAACTTCTTTTGAGCAGATTTTCCAAGACACTGAAACATCACTGGAGCTACGAATCTGGTTCAGTGGTCTGGTGAATAATCCGGTGGTTCAGAATTTACGTCTAATTTTTCAGAATACATTTGTTTGGATATTGCGAGTAAATGTCGCGAAACCTTCACACGGTGCTAATTTCCTTGACAATAAGTTCACGAATCTAAAATTACATTTTTGAATTCCTGGCAAGTTTCTGAGTTAGAAGAAAGAAAAATTGGAAAAATTTATCGCAATCCGTTTTTCCCATGAATCAGGAGCGCAATTGTGTCTGCAAGCGCAATTTTGTCTAAGCATATATTTTTAGCTCGTCTTGACTAACCATGATAGTCCACAGCATCAGGAGTGGGTAAGCTTGGCGTCGCAGCTGTTGAAATTGCTGTAAAGATTTTATTAAGAATTTTTTAAGCATAAAATTTAGCTCAGAAATACCTTCCAATGGTGCCTTCCGAAAACTTGGCGGTGAAATCGGACATGAAGATATCGGAGCGCAAAGCTTCAAGAATACTAACAAAGCGAGCAGCATGTGCGTTGTGGTTCGGACCGTACGCTTGTTATTACCTCCCAACCGTACTTACACAAACAAGGAAGCGCTATAAAGCTAAAATTCCTATTCATGTCAGGTCAAACAGAACAGGTGTAGTCTTGTTGTGCTTACTGAAGATGAATCTAGTCGCGTTGACAATAATTCGAAAAAAATTCAGCAAGAACATCTGTTCGGAAGTGAAGGTTGGAACTGGACTACCGTAATCATTCTTTTTCCGTTATCCGGATTCCATGTGCGCTCGGCTTCTGCCCCTTTTACGATATCGGATGTAAGTGAATAATTATAGTTGATTCGTTCACCGCACGGACTGGACATCACTGCGGAGCACGCGCCGCGAGGTAAAACGCTTGCCCCAATACAAATTCGTCATTGTACAAGTCGTGCTCTCGCGACAATTCAGCCGCGTCGCTCGAACGTCCGCAGCATTTGAGCAGTCCGTGCGGTCAACGAATCGACGATGAAAGGCAAACTGCTCCGCGTTTCAGATCTACTTCGAAAACCCTTTGTTCAAAATCAGTAAATTTCAACATATTAAATAAAAAAGTACATTTTAGCTTTCAACTACTGTTAAACTGTCTCGGGATAGATTTCTACATAGATTTACATGTGGAATCAGTGCATATAAGCCCATATAAGTTGGTTGAAACAGCGCTATTAGAGGCAACACTGGACAAGAAAAAGTTTTCATATTGAATCTTTTGTTATTGTTTGAAGACTTGCTGATTTCTCGTGCTAATAGCAACCAAAGTGAGAGATCCGCATAACTTCCCTTGATACATATTATTTTCCATTGCCTTACGCGCACAGTTTTCAACACCTCGTTAGAAAATGGGCCAGATATCGAAGAAGCTTTCTCACTCAAAATTATGCAGGGTGTCCCAAAAGTATGTATACATTGTTTGGTCGTTAATATCTCTCTTCCCTAGGAATCTTCCACCTACCTTAAGGTATCATTTTGTAGAGCTGGCTTCAACTCAGATTTACGGTATGCAGCGAACCACCGATCGCTCTTTGATACTGTAGGATTATGGTAGGAACTTTTGACTTATAGCGTTGTTGTGGATTAGTCGTGTTTCGAAAAAAAGTTTCCAAAAATTCTGAAAAGTGGTGAACCAGGGATTTTACACTGACTTCCTTACTCAACTTTCTAGGAGTTTGCTAGGCTTTTGAAAGGTGTAACTGCAATTTCAGCATCGTAAAAATAGCTACTATCATGGATTACGGGGCATAAGTCATGAAGAAAGCATCGCGTCAAACACAAAGTTCATATTTAGTTTTATTTAGATGTTAGCGACTTTGATTAGCCTAGTGCAAGAATTCCCAGATTGTTTGGTTTGATTTCCAAGGCAAGATAGGGTTCTCAATGGCTCAAAACTCTTTTAGAAGTTCCTACCTAGTCCTACAGTAGTGAACGAAGATTGTTGATCCGCTCCATACTGTAAATCTAAGTTGAAGCCTGCTCTACGAAATGGTAGCTGAAGGCAGGCAAAACACTTCTTGGGAAGAGAGATATCAGTGATCAAACAGGGCATACATACTTTGGGACACCCTGTATAGTGTATTTCTTCTCGAGATGCCTATAGTGTATTTCTTCTCGAGATTCCAAGTTTCCAATACCGTAAAAGTTCGTAAGCGAACTCGTGAACTCTCCCCCACGATGCACGGCTGAATATGCACTTTACTTTGCTTAATTGATAATTAGTTGCCTCTCATGGTGGATGAATGTACATTCATCTGGACCTAACGGATAAATGCAAAAATAGATCGGTTTTTGCTCGAATATCTACTTTTGAGACATAGGTAGCAAATAAGACAGCTCACTCAAATCTGCGATTTTCTTTGTTGTTCAGGTAATCATGGAGGGGCTAACAGCGTCAAAATTTTGTCTTTTACTTCTCACTTGTTACCCAGGTAATTCTAAGTACGAACTTCTAATGCAAATACTGGATTGGGAGACCTTATGTGGA